ACAAACAGTAAAGATCATCATTGCTAGGCCTCAGGCAGTGCATATATCCAGAAATGAGTTTAAGCTGGGCTATAGAAGGAGATAAAAGCCAACATTCTGAAGGCACTTGTGAAATAAGTTCTGTGTGCCGAAAGGAGTCACTTCCCTTGCCCCTGGCAGAAGGGCCATGTGGTTTTCCATTGACAAATACCTATGGCTGCACATCACAGCCCATGCTCCAGCAGAGGGGCTTCCCTCCACCCAGTCACTCTTCCTCCCTTTAGCACACTCTTCTCTACTGTGCTTTCTCGTGCTGATCGCTGCTGTCTCACTTCCCTAGTCCCAGCCATATCCTGTGTGTTTCAGGATTCTTCCAGATGTCTCTGTATATTTTCTCTGTCTTATCCATAAAAATAAAAAAGAAACTTCCCCCAATAGAGGGATCATTTCAGTGCTCTCTTTACTGTACCCTTTTAATACAATCATCATCATCATCATCATCATCATCATCACCATCATCATCATCGCAGGCCAGACATGGTTGTGCATGGTTTAGTCTCAGCACTCAGAAACAGGCAGATGAATCTCTGGTCTACATAGTGAGTTCCAGGCCAGGCCAGCTAAGGATACATAGTGAAATTCTATCTCAACAAACAAAACACACAAAATCAGATAGATGTCAGGTTTTCACCCTCTTGTAGATGGAGAAGTCACTCAACACTTAAGAACACTTTCTACTACAGAGGAGCCTAGTTTCAGGCATCTTCTCTCATGCACACATGCACACTCACACATCACACACACACACACAAACACACACTTCTTAAAAATGGGTATGGCTCAAACTCCAGAATGTCAGGTTCAATGGAAGCTCTACTCCCCCAGTTCTGGGACCCATTTCCCTCTACCAAAGAAGTAATTTCCTCATCACTGTCAGAAGGGACAAATGGCTATCTGTGTGCCTATTAGCATATCAAAGTGCAAACTGACCTCCAAGGTCACTCAAGTGTATCAGTGCAAGCTGACCTGCAGGGTCACTCAAGTGTATCAGAGTGCATGCTGACCTCCAGGGTCACTCAAGTGTATCAGTGCAAGCTGACCTCCAGGGTCACTCAAGTGTATCAGTGCAAGCTGACCTCCAGGGTCACTCAAGTGTATCAGAGTGCATGCTGACCTCCAGGGTCACTCAAGTGTATCAGTGCAAGCTGACCTGCAGGGTCACTCAAGTGTATCAGAGTGCATGCTGACCTCCAGGGTCACTCAAGTGTATCAGAGTGCATGCTGACCTCCAGGGTCACCCAAGTGTATCAGTGCAAGCTGACCTCCAGGGTCACTCAAGTGTATCAGAGTGCAAGCTGACCTCCAGGGTCACTCAAGTGTATCAGAGTGCATGCTGACCTCCAGGGTCACTCAAGTGTATCAGAGTGCATGCTGACCTCCAGGGTCACTCAAGTGTATCAGAGTGCATGCTGACCTCCAGGGTCACTCGGTATCACAGCCACCTGTTCTCCTCACCCCACCCATTACCCTAAACGTCTCCAGTTCGTGGCTCCACTTCCAGCTATCGCTCATGTAACTGTCTCTCTCTCTCTCTCTCTCTCTCTCTCTCTCTCTCTCTCTTTTCTGCCCTCTCTCTCAGTTTTCTTTCTCTTTCTCTTCCTCTTCCTCTCTCACCCACTCCTCATGGCCCAGTTTGGTCTACTACTTCTTCTGGACTCTTGCAGATACCTTTGGCTGTTCTCTCTCACACAGCTGCCACCAAAACCTCCCCTCAACCAGACCTTGGAGCAGCCACATCCTCAGTTTATAATACGGTGCTGAAATCCTCGGTTTATACATCTGGTGCCAAAAGAAGCCTGCGACCTGTGGAGAGTGAGGATACTCTCTGCCCTGAGACAAAAGAACCTCTCCTTTGCTAACCCATCACCGAGCATCTTCCTGCTCTCATTCCCCGCCCACCAATGGGGAGGCAGATCTGAGTACTGGCCTAATTTGATTTCCTAATTTGAAAAATCTACTTTGCAACCAAATTAAGTCGTGTGTACTTCACTTTAGTCTTGTGATCCCTTGGCTTATGTAGGCAGAAGTGCATAAGCTACTGGAACATGAAAACCAGGCTCGTGCCTCATCAGATCTTCGTCATTCCCACTACAGCGGCCCCTAGATCCTAGGGATGCTGACTTATTTGGGCAACACACGAAAAACAATCTTCATTGAAGAAATTTTTCTTCTGGGACTGGGGGTGTAGTTGATAGTGTTTGCCTTGCATGCATGAAGCCCTGGTCTCCAGCTTTAGCCCCTTGTGAATGAGATGTGGTAGGGTCGCTCAGAGGCGGAAGCAGGGTGAGCAAAAGTCCGAGGTCAGAATAGAAAGCAGGCTACTGCCCTGCCCCAAAGAACTCAGTCCCAAAGTGAGGCTGGGTTAGGGCTTTTAAAGTGTCCCATTGCATGGCACCAGGTCCAGGCAAAGGGAATCATCTCCCACGCCTTGGTACTCCGAACTCTTTGATCTGTACACCTTAGAAGCCTTCGAAGAAACCCTTTGTTTACAGGCAGTACATGCCCCCCTAGGAGAGGAGGGGAGCTTGGTTAGCTTTATTTCTGCTCTGTAGGTACAGAGTATTGAATATTCCAGATCATGGTGGAAAACAGCGGGAAGTGGCCAGAAGTGACAGAGCTTGCCCCGGAAGTCTCTCCCTGCTCAGACAGTCTTCCCTCTCTTTTCCAAACCTCCTGTAACTATCTGGAAAATATTCCAAAGAAAGACAGTTGTGACCCTCTCATCGGCTACCAGACTGGTGAGACAATGGACCCTGTCTCAGTGAGGGCTCCTGCTGCTGCAGTGAAACACCAGGTCCACATCACAGGAAGTCAGGTTCGGAACTCAAGCAGGGCAGGGACCTGGAGTCAGGAGCTGCTTCTTGGCTTGTGCACTGTTGGGTCCGGAAGGGTCATGCAAACGATGGGGCCACAGCCCAACAAATCTATTAAACCAGAAGTAAACAGAAAAAGAAAAGAAATTATCGTGGGCACACAAAGCTTCTCAGCTATAGCTGTGACCACAGCCAGAGATCAGGCTTCCGTAGCTGTGGCCATGGGGGCTGGTTTGCGGCCTTGTCTTATAGTAAAACCAAGCACCAGGTGTGGGTCAAAGAGCTTCTGTAGCCTTGAGGTCAGGCTTAAAGTCACATTACATTGTAAGTTGTACAACCTTCTGTTATAGAACCTTAGAGTGTTAACTTAGGATGTTTGCCGAAGCCTGTGGCTGACACAGATGCTTTTCATTGTCCCTGAAAGAATTCAAGGCAGAGAATAGAGTCACACAGGGGGACAGTTAAACAAGCAGAGGGTTCCACAGAGGCAATAGTAGAAGCTCACCTTTGTCCCCAGGGCCTGCCTGGCTAGGAAGCTGGGAGGCAGGAGAGGCTGCCAGGGTGTCTGCTCTCGAGGCTAACAGTGGCTGCCAGCTTATTTTTTTCCTCCCAAAATGTATTTAGGCTTATGACTTTCTATATTCCTATATTCCTATTTCTGAAACCTATATTTCTATGTTCTTATTCTTGGACTCTTCATTCATCATGGCTTGCTCAGCCTGCTTTCTTATAGAACCTGGGGCCACCAGTTCAGGGATGGCCCCACCCTCCCCATGGGTCATTGTAAAGAAAACGCCCTTCAGTCGGATCTTACAACTGAGGTTCCCTCCTTTCAGATAACTCTAGCTATCTGTACAAACCCCAACAAATTAGAACTTCCCCAAGTTTTCCTCAGCTGCTGCCAAGGTGTTTGGCTTTGAGGAAGCTAAGGCAGATTTGGGGTGAGGCTCTCGTTTCATCTGGTGACTAGCACCATGCTGGCAGTCCGCACTGTTGTCGACATCTGGGAGCCGAGGTGATGGACGCGGGAACAGCTGTGTCAATGTTGAACCCTTCTGGTCCAGATTGTTTGCAAAGGCCTTGGCCAGGATCAACATTGGAAGACTTAACCTGCAGCATGGGGGCTGCTCGGCCCTTTCCACTGTTGCTGCCATTGCTAAGAAGAAAGTGGAAGCAGAAAAGGAAGAAGAGGAGCCCGGTGATGGTGTGGGCTTTGGTCTTTTTAACTACGCCTCTTTTGTTAGCATGTTTAATAAAAAACTGAACCTGTTCAAACACACGATGACAAGAAAAATAATCTCCCCAGCAGTCTCATGCTGGCGAAAGAAAATGCCGGGTGGGGTCGTGTGGTAGCCAGGGGAGAGAGAGAACTTGTCAGGCCACCTTGCAGGACAGTGATAGGTCAGGGATGGGAGGGGCCGCACTTTGATCTGGACTGCTTATCTGTGGATACCTCTCGTCTTCCATGTGAGCCTAAAAAGTTTGTGTCAGGACCCTGCAGATGGACTTGGGGTCACCAGACTCCATTTGTTCCTTTTCCCAATTTGCCACATTGGCCACATTACCTTTCTCTGCTTTTTGCTATTGTTTGTCTCTTTGACTGATCTATTGAGGATGATTGTCTGAGCCTGGCTTGGTGAGATTGCCACAACCTAGACTTTGGCCCTCACAGCTCCACCAACACCAGAACCCTTGACCTGCAGACAGCTTATTCCTTCTTTCTCCCCCAAGAAAAGCACTGCTGGGAGGCCTGGAATCCTGGCTACCATCAATCTGGTTCCATTCAGAATGGCGAGGGACTTTCCTCTCTGTGATTCCCGGGATGGCTATGTGGCCTTTCAAACCTCCAGGTTGAAATTGGCGCAAACACTTGCTCACAGGTTACAAGGGCTCTGTGAAGGACTGCAAAGTGTGCGTGCCATTGTCCCAGTGGCTTGCCCTGCTGCCCCTTGGGAATCAGCACCTGAGGTTCAAACTGCATTCTCTCTTTCCTTGGCAGCCCTGGGGCTTTTCCCATCCAAGCTTACGATGCCCTTGTTTTTATCAGTCAGGTAAAATTGGCCAAGATTTACTTCTCCTGTTTTTCTTGGAAGCCAACCCCTTTGTAACCCATTTAAGCTCCACACCACAGGGACTGAGTGGCTGCAGAAACTAGCTTCCAATTTGCCCCGAACTTCAAACTCAAAGTTTAGGTAAGTAGTCCAGAGACTATTTCTGCTTGACAGTTAGAACTGAGAGAGTTGAGGCCAGTCACTTTTGACTGATACCAACTCAGAAAAGCTGGACCAGGCAAAAAACTAGAGGGAATCAGGGTGAAGGCAGGGCATAGACAGGTGTAAGAACTAACTCATGGGATGGGAAGGACAGAGTACCCAGGGTGGGCAAGGAAGTATGTGTCTTTAGAATACAACTCAATCCCTCAGGCCCTGGACCAAGTTCTCCTGTACTATAAGGCTATCAACTATAGTCCTGGGTGTCAGGGATGACTCAGGAATACAATTTAGCTCACTACATATTCAGAAAAACCTTCTGACGAGCCATTTGAACACAGTGTACAAATGTGTTCTGTTTTTCAAATGTATTTTATACAAAAGAAACTCCAGTATTCAGAATACTGCCAAGAATTTAGGTGACACAGCCCACCACCTAGAGAAAAGAAAGACTTCTCTTCAGTAAGTAATGAAGTAAAACAGTGTTAGTATTTGCATGATCTCTCAGAAAGGGTAATCTTCCAGGCTCACCCAAAGTGGAATTGGCCTGGGGAGGCTGAGGTGGGGGGAGTGTGCTGGGGAGGCTGAGGTGGGGGGAGTGTGCTGGGGAGGCCGAGGTGGAGGCTGCAACTCTTCTGAGAGTGTGTTCTTTTTTCTCTTCCTTTTCTTGTCAGGGTCCTCAGAGCAGCAAGGCTACAATGGCTCTGCAGAAGTCCCTCATCCTGCTCCCATTGCTTGTCCTGGTGTTTGGATGGGTCCAGCCTTCGCTGGGCAAGGAAACTTCTGCCCAGAAGTTTGAGCGGCAGCACATGGACTCAACCGGCTCCTCCAGCAGCGCCACCTACTGCAACCAGATGATGAAGCGCCGGAATATGACCCAGGGATACTGCAAGCCTGTAAACACCTTTGTGCATGAACCCCAGGCAGATGTTCACGCTGTCTGCTCCCAGGAAAATGTCACCTGCAAGAACGGGAATTCTAACTGCTACAAGAGCCACTCCGCCCTGCACATCACTGACTGCCGTCTGAAGGGCAACTCCAAGTACCCCAATTGCGACTACCAGACCAATCAGCTGCAGAAGCACATCATCATAGCCTGCGAAGGGAACCCCTTTGTGCCGGTCCACTTTGATGCTTCTGTGTAGGGCTTCACCTAGGCCAAAGCAGTCAGATGTCTCTGTCTCTCCACCTCATCATGCCAGTACCTGCCCCTCCCGTTCTCATTCTTTCCCAGAAAGAAATAGTCCCTGTTAGGGCTTCCACATGACCAAACATGCTTCTCTCTGCTGTGCTGTGCTCCTGCATGGAACAAAGAAAGCAAGGTAGCCCTCGCCAGAATGTGTCCCTTCAACCTGACACTTCCTTGACTTCAGAATCATGAAGCAAATAAAATTCTGTTCATTATATATTGCTCAGCCAGAGGTGGTTTTTTTCGGGCAGTTCACAATGGACTAAGGACAGCAGGCAAGCCATCCCATGGGTCCAGACCTTCCCCACTCCTGGCAGCTTTAATCATATTACCAAAACTAGAATGTTCTACCTCTCCTACTGAGTGCTCATCCTTCTCCTACTTTTCTATATAGTAGGTCTAAAGTCTGTCTCAGCACCCAGTAGCCAAGTCCGTTGGCCCCATGCCAATACAGTCCTGCCGCCAAGAGAGTAAAAAGAACATCACTTTTGCTTCTGCCTTTCTGTGAGCTTCCTCTAGTCATGGTTCACTCCACACTTTTTTTTTTTTCAGTGTGAAGGAAAGGCAGCTCTGGCTCTTGCCTTTTCTCCTGCTTCCTCGGACTGATGCAGATCTGATGGGGAGAGTGGAAGACATGGGGGCTTCAGCCTCAACAACCACTCTGGGAGTCAGAGTCCAATGATGCTCGTGGGAAACAGTGAAGGTGGCACCGTCTTGGCCATGTGGGAAGCAGGGTGAAGGGTATTTCTGTAGCACTGGCCACTGTCACTTCTGAAACAAAAGGGACAGTTGTTCTGCAGATCAGTCAATGGATTTAGACATATTTGTGTTTTCTTCTTTTTAACCAATGATGGTTTTGAGCTTTTTTTGTTTTTGTTTTTGTGTTTGTTTGTTTTTTGAGGCAGAGTTTCTCTGTGTATCCCTGCCTGTCCTGGAGCTCACTCTGTAGACCAGGCTGGTCTTGAACTCAGAGATCCGCCTGCCTGTGCCTCCCCAGTGCCAGGATTGAAGACGTGTGCCACCGCTGACCCCCTGGTGGCTTTGAACTCTTGATCCTCCTTCTTCCACCTTGTGCCATCTTGCCCCAGCTATTGTTGGAATGAACTTCTTCCATGTTTATCTTCCCAATTCTTTTTCATTCTTGTGGGGGAGGGGCAGTTTGGGACAGGGTTTCTTTGTAAAATGGACCTGGCTGTCCTGGAACTCACTCTGTAGACCAGTCTGGCCTCAGACTCTCAGGAATCAGCCTGTCTCTGCCTCCTGAGTGCTGGGCTTAAAGGTGTGCACCACCACCCCCCAGCTCCTTGTCTTAAAGGAGAAAAAGCAGGGCTAGATAGAGTGATGGGTGAGTGGTTGAGAACACTTACTGCCCTCCCAGAGGCCCCCAGTTTGTTTCTCATCACCCACATGGCAGCTCACAACCACCTGTAACACCATTCCCAGGGTCTCTGGGACTCTCTCTCTCCCAGCCTCTGAAGATATTTGCATGTATGTGGTGCACATAAACTCATGTAGACACATACACATAATTAGACATATAAGAATTAAAGAGATAGGCTTTATCTTTCAAAACAGTTTTATGTCACATGCTAATCTAGCCACGATTGTCTTCATAACTCAACAGAGAACTTGCTCCTCTGAATGCATGGGGCATGCTCTACTAGTGTGGGGGCTGCGTGGGGGCTGGGTGGGGACTGCGTGGGGGCTGCGTGGGGGCTGGGTGGGGGCTGCGTGGGGGCTGTGTGGGGACTGCGTGGGGGCTGCGTGAGGGTTGCATGGGGCATGCTCTACTAGTGTGGGGGCTGCGTGGGGGCTGGGTGGGGGCTGCATGGGGCATGCTCTACTAGTGTGGGGGCTGGGTGGGGGCTGGGTGGGGGCTGGGTGGGGACTGCGTGGAGGCTGCGTGGGGGCTGCGTGAGGGTTGCATGGGGCATGCTCTACTAGTGTGGGGGCTGGGTGGGGGCTGGGTGGGGACTGCGTGGGGGCTGGGTGGGGACTGCGTGGGGGCTGGGTGGGGGCTGGGTGGGGGCTGGGTGGGGACTGCGTGGGGGTTGGGTGGGGGCTGCGTGGGGGCTGCGTGGGGGCTGCGTGGGGGCTGCGTGGGGGCTGGGTGGGGGCTGGGTGGGGGCTGGGTGGGGGCTGCGTGGGGGCTGCGTGGGGGCTGCGTGGGGGCTGCGTGGGGGCTGGGTGGGGGCTGCGTGGGGGCTGGGTGGGGGCTGGGTGGGGGCTGCGTGGGGGCTGGGTGGGGGCTGGGTGGGGGCTGCGTGGGGGCTGCGTGGGGGCTGCGTGGGGGCTGGGTGGGGGCTGGGTGGGGCTGGGTGGGGGCTGCGTGGGGGCTGGGTGGGGGCTGGGTGGGGGCTGGGTGGGGGCTGGGTGGGGGCTGGGTGGGGGCTGTGTGGGGGCTGTGTGGGGGCTGGGTGGGGGCTGCGTGGGGGCTGCGTGGGGGCTGCGTGGGGGCTGGGTGGGGGCTGGGTGGGGGCTGCGTGGGGGCTGGGTGGGGGCTGCATGGGGGCTGGGTGGGGGCTGGGTGGGGGCTGGGTGGGGGCTGCATGGGGGCTGGGTGGGGGCTGCGTGGGGGCTGCGTGGGGGCTCGTGTCTCACTTCCTAGAGTTTCCTTACAAGTTGGGAAGGGCTTATTCTGAAAAGTCAATTTCTTTCCTTTCACACCTGCCCTGCGTCTACAATGTTAGAAAGTTTGACCTGGCTCCAACTCAGCCAACTAAAGCTCCCTGTGCTCATGGTTCCCCGTGTGTACCACAGCTTCCTAACACAAGGGGATAGGTCTGTACAGTGGAGCGTGGCCGTGTGCAGGCAGACATCCAGATCAGAAGGCAACAGGAAGTGGCTGTGACACTGAGTGACCTCGTAGGCTGGCACAGCGACACACCTACTCCTGACAGTGCCACTCCCTGTGACTTATGGGGGCCAGTTAGATTCACTCTCCCACAACACCCTTTACTGTGGGCTAAATCACGCTCTCTGAAAACTCATAGGCTGAAACCTTAGCCCACAGAACCTCAGAATATGACTGAGTTTGGATAGAGCCTTTTAAAAAGGTGACTGGGTTACCCTCTCTGAGGAGTGGATGGGGGTGGTGTGGAGGGTAGGTGGAGGGATTGGGAGGAGGGGAGGGAGTGGGAATGGGGATTGGTATGTATAATGAAGAAAGGTAGTTTGTTTTCTTTTAAAATAATAAAAGAAATTAAATAAAAAAGTGATTAGGTTAGAAATAGTTGATGAAGATAGATATAACCTGAAGGTTAGACAGACAGCCAGACACCTATCACATGCATGTAAGAAGGATAGATAGAAGTTGATCATTTGAAAGCCAAGAAGAGACCCCCAGAAGAAATTAACCCTGCCAGCATGGTGACCTTGGATTTCCAGATTCTAGAATTGTGGAGCAATAATGTTATGATTCCCACTGCCTTGTTCTTGGAGCCCACAAGACTCTACAGTGAATGCACAGTGGACAGATTCATAAAGGGAAACCCATGAGTATACACTTATGGGACACCCATTTTGCAGAGCTGTGGAAAGACTTGTCTTTTTGAAAAGTCACTGTCTTATCTATAAAAACCTTGTGAAGCCATGATTCTTCCCTTTCCCAAACACCTCAGCAGTCTAACTTCTGCAAGGAGCCATGGAATGACCTTGCTTCATTCCCCTACACCATGAGGCCTTGGAGTGATTACATTCCCTCTTTGTTCTAACAGTCAAATTTGCATAGAGACTATCCTACAAAACTACCTACTAACAGGCCACATAGAAATATCTATAGAAGACAGGCATGGAGAAGGAGGGTAGCCTGCCCCACCTTTGCTAACAAACAAATCTGCGCATCCCCAAAACTAGTTATCACCAAAGAGATTGGATGAGGAGGATGGGGGATTCCAGGACTCAGCGATGGTTAGCAACTTTATCTGAGGGTTTGGGAACCTATGATCCTCCAGAGGCTCCACACGGTGTTGCTGACCCTCCTTCACCCCAGAACATTAGCTCAGAAGACTGTATCTGGTAACTACTCCTCTCCCACATGAGATGGATGAATAGAAGTTATATCCAGAGAATTTTTAATTTAAATGTCCATGGAAAAGAAAGTATTGTGTGGGGGGGGAACTCTGCTTCATCTAACAGACTTATTTTATCTAGTTTTTTTCCATTGATAAATATATATTCTGATCATGGTTTTCCTTCCCCTATATATTCTCTGGGGAAAAAATCAAAACAAATTAAAACAAAAACAAACAAACCACCTCATATTATCTAAGTTGGAAAGATCACTGTTGTCAAAATAGAAAAAAAAAATCAAAATCCAAGACACCAAAAAGACAGTGACAGTCAATAGTCATTGTCAACCTGGCAGGGCCTGGGCTCATCCCAGAAGGCCCTGGGCATGTTTCTAGTTTGTGTTAGGTGAGATGAGAGGCGTCCCACTGATGGCCAGTGACATCCACAGTCTGACCAGAAAGAGGAAGGCCGATGGTGCCCAACATTCTCCACCCTGCTTCCTGACTGCACACCCTGCACATCCAATGTGGTCTCCTGCACTCGCTGCCACGCCTTCCTTGCACCATAGGCTGTGCCCTCTGGAACCCTCCTGCATTCATTGCTTCTTATTAGGTACTGGGTCACAGCCACCAGAAAAGTGATGAGCACAGTAGGCGTACCTGTCAGCCATACTTGTAACCCCAGTGTGCACAGGGGCTCCTGACAAGGCTTGGCTGAGTTCTTCCCAGAGCTGGGAAAACAGAAGAGTGAGCAACGAGGCACCTGCAACTCCAGCACTTGCCAAGTGGATCATGAATTCAAGCCCAGTTCTATTTCCATAGTGAGTTCTAGGCCACCCTGAGGTACAAGGAGGGGTACTGGGGAACGGGATCAAATTTAATTCAGAACAAACAGAAGAAATTAATAAAAATCAGCATATAAATCAATGAAAGAAAACAAACCCTAATTTTTAAATGTATTTTATGATGTGCATAGGTGTGGTGCCTGCATATGTGTCTGTGCACCATGGACACATCTGGCACACTTGGAGGCCAGAAAGGGTGACAGATCCCTGGAGCTGGAGTTGCGGATGATTGCCATGCTTGTGCTGGGAATTAAACCTGGGTCCTCCTGAGAGGCCAGGGCTCTTCACCACTGAGCTGTCTCTCCAGCTCCAAACAATATGTTTAATAAAACTAATGGCTCAG